CCTATTTAAATCTATTTGAATCTTTATATTCAAAACACTCAGTTTTAAGACACTCTATATACATAAACAATTATTGATTTTTATAATTTCTCAAAACTAGGGACAGGGAAATCAGACAACGAACAGAGATGATAGGTGTTATGTAATAGCTTTTATACTACCGTTCTCTACCGAATAACTCATAATCTAAAGATATTTGCACCAAACCAAAAAAAGACCTTAGTACGCGGGTGGGGATCTGCTAAAGTAACAATAACTTCTTCCGTTTTGGATGTAATAAATGTGGCATGTTTTTAATGTATTAAACTACAAACCTTGGTCAGAATGAGGACAGTTTTTGTATTATTATTATTTCTCTTTTATTAAAGTCCAGAACAGCATAATTGGATTCTTTAATATATCGAAAAGTGATCTGCCAACTGGCACTAATCAGCACGGGTAAAATTAGCGAACGGCCTAACCAACCAAATTTGTATTCGCAGAGGAGTAAGGCAGGGGTGTATACTATCGCCGCTCTTGTTCAATATATGCCATCTTTCAGGAGTCGCTAGAGGACAAGGGAGTCTGGATAAATAACATACGATATGCCGATGACACAGTTTTGGTTGCGGATAACATGGATGATTTACAACAGTTGGTTAGTATGGTAGGAGAATGTAGTCAAAGAATGGGACTTGCCATTAACACAAAGAAAACAAAATTCATGGTTGTCACGAGAGAGGTGGATGAGTTTAGAGACGTCAGCTTAACGTACGAAGGAAAATTCATAGAACGAGTCGAAAAATTCAAGTACCTGGGAGCTTGGCTTCACGAGGACTGGTCATCTGACAGGGACATTAAGTGCAGAATCGAGCAAGCTCGGGGCGCATTCCTGAAATTTAAAAAAGTATTCACCTGTAGCGATTTCGACCTTGAGCTTCGGTTGAGATTTATGGAATGCTACGTCTGGTCGGTACTCCTCTACGGCGTGGACAGTTGGACACTAAAAGCAAGTGCCATAAACAGACTGGAAGCTTTCGAAATGTGGATATACCGCAGAATCCTCAAGATACCATGGACGGCCAAGATAAGAAACGAGGATGTACTAAGACGTATTAATAGAGAACGTGAACTCTTCAACACAATTATCGAGGGCAGAAGAGGTTTGGGACGGAAAAAAATGTCGTGGCTGCGGAACATAACACAGTGGACAGGCATTAGTAACACACAGACGTTGATCCACACAGCCAGAGATAGGGAAGCCATGGAAAGTGTGGTCGCAAACATCCATTAATGGACAAGCAGAGAAAGAAGAAGAAGTGATCTGCCGTGCTGTTTTATTGTGAATTCTAGACAGAGTACGGCACTCCTTTCATTTCATTTAATGAAATAAGTAGGACTATTTATAAATTTAGCGTCTGATTTACATAACGTATGCGCCTCAAATTTCCCTAATATTGCTTTTGTCGAGCGCATCCGAGGTAAGTCAAAATAAAAATAATATTTTTAACACAACGCAAGTTCCTTTATTCTATTTAAATTGTTTGTTATACAGTTGGCTAAAAGCTTACCTCTTTAACTTGGTTAAAGGACCGTTGTTATACTACATAGCTCTTTGTGAATGGCTTATCATTGCTTCATACAAAGAACTGCACATTTGTCATGCTATCTCACTGACGTAAAATTCCTACCTTTGATTGACAAAATCTGTACATGACTTCGTTCGTTAATCCCATCAGCTTTAGATGCCTGAGCTTGCAATGCCCTATTAGATACATACAGTATAGGGTGTCCCATTACAGGTATCCATCCCAGGTGTCCCATCCCAGGTACCCACATTACATACAGTACAGGGTGTCCCATTTTAGTTGAAATCATACGGTATCTCCGTTATTAGTGAAGATAGAAGGAAGAAAATTGCAAAACTTTCAAAAAAACCCTGTAGCTCAGAAAAGAAGACGACGGCTATGAGATTTTTGTTTACAGCATCTTCAGTTTGACAAAAAAGTGGGACAGATTGGTGCAAACCGCATCCTCCTATCTTTACTAATAACGGAGATGCCGTATTATTTCAACTAAAATGGGACACCCTGTACAAGGTTTACAAAAAATAACTTTATGACATTTTCTAGCGACATCTAATTAAATATGTCGAATCATTTGAGTACTATATCATTTGTGATTCATTTGTTATTTTTAGGAGTACCATCTCATATGTACGGCACATATAGACAGTTGCACAGAAATTCGAAGATGACACCGTTGGATTTTTATGAGCTGCAATCAGAATTTCCAGAAAACATAAAAGATTTTTTTCAGAGTAAGTATAATTTATTATTATTATATCGTATAATATGCTGAGAAGGCTTCTACACATATGAGTGGAATTATTGAAATACTTTTGCAACTTTCTGGGTTGACTGGGGGAAGACTGTATGATGATTTATAACTCGTTATAACTCATGAAAGGGGAACATATAATAGATCTGTAAGGTCGCGGTGATTAACCCGTTTTTCCTAAATATTCTACATTCTACTTTCTGGGTTGCTTAAATATGATGAGTCTGTCACTTTCTACAGTGCGGTTCACTAAGTATGTAATATATGGGAATTTTTATTAGAAGTCCTACCCAAATGGCAATACTTTCTTTACTTAATTTATATTTAAGATTTTCATACTTCACTAATTCAAGCTCAATATGTGAAAAATAGTTAATAAAAAGAACTCCCAGTTTATTCGTCTTTATCCGGACATCCGCGAAACTTATGTACGTTTTTTTGGCCTACCCTGTAGGTTGTTTGACTTGCAACCATTCAAAGTATCGCTGATATGGTTATTGGACATGCACTAACATTTGATAGTATTCCCATTTGGATAGGACTTCTAATAAAAAAATTCCATATGTTGCATACTTAGTGAACCACACGGTATATCTGCGAAAATTGTCGAAAACAGACGATTTTGATTGGACCGGCTGAGAAATTGGTACATTTATTTTCTTGTACAAATTTACTGTGTTGTGCAAATATTTTAAATTTTTTAAAGATTTAAAAATCAGCCCTATGTCAACACATCTTTTTGTCGTTGAGTCAATATTTAGATTGGTATCTTATTAAGATTTATTCAACATACAGCAGATTATTTTTCATAATTTGATAACTAAAGTATTTAAGACACCACGGTAATGTCGGTAACTAGTTGTGAGCAAGATTATTCTTGGTCTTAGTCTTGCGATTATCGGGGATGAAGACATACGTGAATAGAATGACTTATCATATACCAACTTTGGACATTTTCAATTAAGAAATAGCATTTTAAATTTCAATCTAGAGTGCCATAGCCATAAATTAGGAAAGACAATTTGACTCGAAATACCAAATATGTATGCGGTACCAAATTGGTAGAAAATACTTTTTCCAAATATGCCAATGATCTACACTCGTTCCATTTGAACATCTTCAGTTATGATTAAAAATACGATTAGAGCATATTTAAGGACCGACACGAAAAGCATTAGACTATGAAATATATTTTCCCAAAGCTCCTTGATTAAAAATTGATGATTTTAACAAAGCCCTGGTACTCAAGATTGAAATTTAAAATATTATTTTTTTTTAATTAAAAGTGTCAAAAGTTGACATCATATGTCATACCTACTATTCAGAATGTAATTTTCTATCAAATAAAGTTAAAAAAATACCGAAGGTGCCATTCAAAAATTAAAAGTTGTAGTCATTTCCGGTAAAACAGGAAGGCCATAAAATAATCCCGATTTATGTCATATTATACTAACATACCAAATTTAGTTACTTTTATTTCAAAAAATATAAAGTTTATAGAGTGAAGCACTTTTGAAAAACACCCGGTATGTAGGAGTATGTAGTGTATATAAACTAGAGGGTATCTGTACCGGGTGCGTCTCAAAAGTGGCTCACCCCTATAACTTTTTTATTTTTTCAGTAAAAAAAACGAGATTTCGTATGTTAGTATATGACGTAGTTCCTGTTTCACCGGAAATGACTAAAACTTTTGATTTTCAAATGACATCATCGGAATTTTTTTACTTTATTCGATAGAAAATGATATTCTGAATAGAGTGACATACCATATGTCAACTTTTGACATTTTCTCGTATGGTTAATTTGAAATTATAACTTGCCGTTTGTAACGAAAATTTGACTCGAAATACCAAGTGTGTGGTATCAAATTATTCGTAAAAAAATGCTTTTTCCAAATATGCTAATGAGCCACCCTCGTTCCATTTGAAAAATTTGAGATATATGATCGAAAATACGATTTGGGCATTTTCTAACTGGCCAAGACAACACACTAAAAACATTAGACAATCAAATCTATTTTTCCAAGGCTCCTTGATTAAGAGTTAGTGTTTTTAACATAACCATGGTACTCTAGATTGAATTTTAAAATACGATTTTTTATTAAGCAAGAATTTGTCAAAAGTTGACAAATGATATGTTATTCTATTCAGAATGTCATTTTCTATCGAATAAAGTACAAAAATACCGAGGGTGCCATTTAAAAATCAAAAGTTGTAGTCATTTCCGGTGAAAAAGGAAGTGACCAAAAACAATTGAATACGTCAATCAATCCTAATTTGTGTCATATACTAACATACCAAATTTCGTTTTTTTTTATCTAAAAAAATAAAAAAGTTCTAGGGGTGAGCCACTTTTGAGACGCACCCGGTATAAAGAATAATTAATTTCGACAAAAAAATATCCGAAAAAAGGACAATTTGCTGTATAATAGTAGTTTCATATTAGTAAAACAACTTTCATGAATAATAACCCCACCTGCGCCCATTATACCATCTCAGCCGACTCATTCAGATTAGCATAGCCAAATCTAAAGCATTATAACACCACGATACAGCTCTCTATCTCCATCTCACACCACCCGAACGCCTCTAATGCACCTGAACTCGCCAATATCCCGAAAATAGCTCATCCAGACCCCCCTCCGCCCGTTAAGACGTCCCGGCGCACGGCGGGAGACTCCCGGTACCCTCATTCTTCGCTCGCAACTCGTATACGACCGATGTCTCAGACATATCGGGGATGATGACTTGAACATCTAGCTTTACACAGCCCCCAGCAGGCAATTCCATACATAATTCGATGAACATTAGAATTAACGCTCTTTTTCGTGATATATATATTTTTTTTCGTGGTGATATACTCGTAGTGTGCTAATATCTCCCTTTTGATTAGTGATAATACATATTTTCTTTTATTTTTTTGATCGACTCTATTAATTATTTCGATATCTGTGAAACGTATGTGGTGAGAAAATGAATCGACAACAGCAAAGTCAGCAGCAGCAGAGTCAGCAGACTCAGCAGCAGAGTTCTACTCAGCAACAGCAAAGGGTGACGAGGACAGAACAGCATGTCACCCGACAGGTCACCGGGCACATGACAGGTTAGGATCTAGTGTGCGATCTTTGTTATAACTGCTCAAAGTTACTAAAATCTCAGGTTTTCGTCATTCTTTCATATCTGGTTCACGTTGAGTTATTTTTTGGATAAAACCAGCTTCAAATACTGCAGTTTAAAGCTTCATTCATAACCTCAAAATTAAGAGAATTAATTAGTGGTTTCAATTAGCGTTAAGTTTGTTCCTCTAATTTCAATGTAAGCATTCAGAACGGCAAAATTACTGGTAGAAATTTTCAATTAGTAGAAAAAGTTAACTGACTCTTAAGTTTTTCCACTAATTATACTTTAAAAAATTCAAACAACTAATTTATTCCACTAATTTCGAGGTTCTAAATGAAGTTTCACAACAAAAATATATAGAAAAAACTGAAACGATTCTTACTTGTTGACTATACCAGCTTCCATGTGGAACTTGACATATAATCTGGGAAACTCCAGTCTAGTTTCTTTTGTTTAAATTTGTCTGAATAGGATCTTTCAAAATTTTGACATAAAGTTGAAGACATTAGTACATCAAGAAATGTAGATTTTTATGCTTTATGATCTTCATTAGACAAAATCTTTAATAAGATTTGTCATACATAGATCACAATTAATGTGTTCTTCTGCTTTCTGTCCTAACCTAACCAAACAGTAAAAAGGCAAGTTTGAATTAAGTGTGTTGTTTTTTTTTTCTATTTCCTTTGTTTTATAATTTGAAACTTAAGACCATTGTGTTATAACATTCTTCTGAGAAGAATGCTACTATAATACAGTCTTAAATTTAAATTTGCATATTATATTGATATCTAATCAAAGAAGCTATCTCAATTAGGAATCCTGGGGAGTCAAATTTCTCAGAAGATCTTTATTGGCTATCTAGCCAATATTTAGCTCTATCAAACAAAACCAAACACAAATTTAAATAAATCACAAATTGCATTAACGTTGTAAGTGGGTCTTATATACTTGGTCTTGCACAAAAAGCAATTAATCACCGCGATAATCAATTTTCTTGATATGTAAATCATCATACAATCCAAGGGGTTTGACAAAAGTTAGTATCTGAGGCAGTTTTACAGGAGGTAGGTCCCAATCTCCGATATTAGTCGTACCAAAGTTTATTGCACGAATGGTTGTCGTATCGGCTTACTCAGTGATGAGGTGTTCTGGTATTTCCCCATTTTCCCCACAGAATTTGCATTCGCCATTTTTGAGGCTTTAGATGATCTATAATGTTGATATTGTCAATCTAAAAATAGTAGATTTGATGATCAAATCTCAATATACTGACTAAAGCAATAAAGAACTGCAGAACTAAAAATGGAAATTTTTGATAAACATTTGCATAATTGCAGAAAATTTTCTTATAGCGACAATCATCTATCATCATTTCAGGTTAAAAATTTTTGATCGCTTGGTATGTCAAGTAAACTCTGTTTGATTTTCTAACTTATTTTTTTTCGCTAAGCATTCCTTTACGTGTCGTAATCCCATCTAAAATAACCACGTCTCTTGGCACAAGAAAGGTGGCCATCAAGACGCAAGCGCGCCTTTTGCATTTTTGAAATTATACCGAGTGGTCTAAAGTGCCGGGGTATTTTTAGAACACCGATTGAAGGTATTTTTAGAAAATCCTCTGATGCGGGTCACGTCACACGCGTATAATATTATGCGTTTCGTCAGATATTACAATCGAAAACACGAAGCAATAAAGAGGTTATGAATTGACAAATAATCAATTCTTAAAAAAAAGAAGAAGTCTAGCATATGAGAATCAGTAAAAGTTGGAGTGTACGTCATGAAAAATTTTCACGATTGCGCGTCGCAGTGTTGCCACGGCTTACTTTTTTACTTTGACTTTTGACAAGTGTTAAATAAAATTCGTAATTTTGTCACAAATATTTTTTTTAAATCTACATTATTACCTTGTCTATGATTATTACACAAAGAAGCTCTAATTAAATGAAGTTATTAGCAATTTGAATGAAAGCGGAACCATATAAAGTTCTAATTGGTTACCATTAGTGTTCACTTTTTGTGAGATTCTACTCATAGTCCGTAAACCAATATTGAGCGTAGCTGTAACACGCTGAAAACTACATAGATCTAGTTTCAATAAAAGCCGCAAAGCTTAAACAATCAATCAATTTTTACCTCTCTAACGCATGTTAACGGCAAAAGGGGCTCGCCATATTCTATTTCCTTTTCAAACTAATTGAGTAGAGATGAGACAAGTTGGCTGATTTCGACTATTTAGTGGCTTTGGCATTTTATTGCACTGAAAATCATTAGTTTTAACTAAACAAAGCGAAGATTTAATTTTTAATTTGTCAGAGAATACTCAGAATAAAATTGAGAGTGACAAAAAATGTCAGATTAGAAAAAATAAATAAATTCGAAAATGGGAAATATCAAATTTGCAAAGAAAATTATCATAACAGCTGGCAACATTTGCCATGACTACCAACATAAAGTCTGTTTTATGAACCAATCTTTACATGATGCGACAGCGTGCTGTCTCTTTCTAACAAGTATATAAGGATTATAATGAAAAAGAAAAAGTTTTAAACGAATTTGAATTTATTAGAAATTTAATTTGATAATAGTTTCGATGATTTTTCGACGTATTTGATGACATACACATTAACTTTTATTGATTTGTATTCATGCATAGAGGCGGAATCGACGTAATTAGACGTGAATTTTTTACGGTTTTATTTGACATTTTACTTGACACATTCGAATTTGATTTGAATTTTTGCTTAATTGTTGGGCTTCTTTGAGTTTATTTATTTCATCATATACTCTCGGAGCTTTGGTAAAAGCCAGTATCTGAGACCGTTTTGCAGAGGCTAGTTCTCCATCTCCATCTCCAAGTTGTACCAAAGTTCATGGCACGAATGGTTGTCATCCCGGCTCAATCAGTGATGAGGTGTTCTGGCTTTCCCAATTTTCCCCACATCATCTGCAGAATCTGAGACAGTGTTTAAAAACCCCGTGACAATCCGAAGATTGTTCTTACTTAAATCAAGGAAAATCTTTGACATTACTCGGTCAAAGTTCTGAGACATTTCTTTGAGTATCTTAGATCGTTAGAAAATTCCCATTGCTTCATTACAATTAACTAAATTTGATTCCAGGTTACGGATGGAGTCATCCAGGGTCTTAAGTTCCGCTTTAAGTTAGTTTCCATTGGGAAAGCAGAATTGTTCTCCAATTAGTGGAGTGTTCGCTCTTTTTCTAGCTAGATCGTTTGCTTTTTCATTGCATTCTATCCATTGGTGGACTAACACCCAGAGTAGGAGCACTTTATTATTATCTTTGACTAATTTGTTCAGCTTCTCTAAGCATTCGACCAACTTCGAATTGATGGTTACTAGGTTGATCGCTTTTAATGCTGCTTGACTATCAGATAAGATGGCTGTTTCTTGTTTCCTTGTTTGATTTACGAGGGAAAACAAAATATTGTTGTTTTTGGCGAAAGTTTGAAACACCATGTAAAACGGTTTTCTAAAGGAATTTGAAAACACCTCTAAAACACTTTATCCCCAGCTTGTATCTTCTCTCAATTGTTGATTTTTTGACTCATCTCGATAGATTTGTTTTTGTTGGAGCTATTCTCTTCTAAAGAAGACAGGAACGACTAATTACAGTTTTAGCTTAAAACCATGTCTTTGCTTTTAGTTATAGTCAACACAACTATGTAATAGTGTTCATTGTTTTTGTAAAGTCACTGTCAGAGATGGTTTTAAGTCCATGAGTTGTATCGGCTATTGCTGCTTTAAAGTACGGATCTGTAAATCTAAAGTAAGTCTACTGGATCTGTGTCTATCAAAAGAATGCCGGCAAAACCATTTAAATAAACAGCAATCTGTTTTATAAATCGCTACCTATGCAAAGCGATAGAGAGTCCACGTGGACTTTCACGTGTCGAGTATGTCACCGAAAATACTCCGCTCACTCATTTCATGGGCTATTTGCAAATTTGTCGAATTTTTATTGATGGGACGTGTCGTCTAATTTTTTACGAAATATATCGATTAAACAGTAACAGATAATATCGTTTCCACCCTTACGGATACCCTGTACCTACAGAACGGATAGACTGTACTGTAATATAACATGGTATACAGGATTGTTCACCACTTACGACACGGAGTATTGTAGCTAAACGATTAGATTTTTACAAATTGTAAGTTTTGGGTTCGTTGAAGGACTATTAGAGCTACAATTTCAAAATATTTTTACAAGATACAGAGTGTCCCAAATAAATAAAAAATATCAAAGTTGTATTTTTTTAAATGGAACACCCTGTATATTATTGAATTTTTTAGTTTCTACGATTAAAATAAACGTAAATTTGATTAAGGTTTATTACACTTAAACATTACCGTTCTTGAAATATTTTCAATTTTGTAAAATTGCAGTATAAATTTTAAGGCTTCATTTCTCCGAGGGTATCAAAGTTTTTAATACTAAATATTTACTGAAGCTTATTTATTGACCAGTTATTGTGTTGCAATAATAAAAATTTTACTACCTTATACAGAGTGTCTAAAAATTTATTTTAAATAATTACTAGCTTTAAACGGCAATAACTTGTTTAATTTAAATGGAATACCCTGTATATTTTATGAGAATCAGATGCACAATTTAATTGTCTATCAAATTGTATTATATCACTTTTTACCTATCCCTTCAAGTTTTCGTAGAAAATGCATTTTCTTATAATTTAGACCTCATTTATCAATATACCCGTGGAATATTGACATTTTAGATTGTTTTAAAACAACAAATGTACAAAATGTACAGGCTAGGAATATTATCGTTTTAGTAAAACGATGATATTACTAGCCCATTTGTATGCAAAAAAAAAAACTATTTAAATCTTTATAAAAGAGTCTACCATTAATTAAATATACCACCGGTATTTCCGCCCAAATTCTAATTAATTACATACTTAATTGTGTTCGTTAATAAATTATTCTAAATAAATGTGGA